CTTGTTACTACTAGCTTCTTGTTACTACTAGTAAGGCACTTGTTACTACTAGCGTGGCACTTGTTACTACTAGCTTCTTGGTAGGTGCTACTAGTGGCGTCTTTCTTCTTTGGGCTCGTGTGGTGCATCTACCAGAATGAAAACTGTGCTTGTCGTTGGGGAATCTGGGCAATTGACGTTCATCAGCTTTTCTTCTTTCCAGAAATCCTGTCTGCATTATCGCTGGGACTGCAGAGGGTGAAACAAGCTGCCAATTGCTCAGATCAACGGAACCATTGCAGGAAATCGGTTCCTGTTGGTTCTGCATGTGGTAGTTACAGGTATAGTTGAGGGAGCAAATCCATAGCGGTGCACCATGTCCTGACATGAATCACTTCTCCGGAAAAAGCCTCGCTGTTCGGATGGACCCTTGGAGGGCTTGTGACAGCTTGTGCTTGTTCACCTCCCCTGTGTGAAACAGACCCCAGCTGACCCAGCGGTCAGCCGCACACAGCTCACCTGGTCTGCGGTCAGGGCTGTGCTGTGCAGGTCAGCCCACCGCTCGTGATCGACATGTGGTCGTGCTGGGGGCGCCCGGAGACGGACGGAGACGGGACGGACGGCGAAGGAACGATACGGCGGGAGATGGTGAAGGCGGAGCCAGGTGGGGGTTTGGTGGGTTTGGGTGTCATCTCCAAAAACGGTGGGGTGTAGATTGGGGCAGTTTGGTTCAGGTCTGGTAGGAGCAAATTAGGTAGATGGAGGTCCAGTTTTGAAGCGGATGGACTTCAAGATGAGCTGGGGAGCTGGGGAGACCGAGCTGGTGATGGTGATGGCATGGACCGGAGCCGATGAGTGGCACTTCCACTCGTTTGAAACAACACATCGGGACGGATCATGTGCCCTGCTTGACTCACACTCGATTCCACACACGCGGGGGGAAAGGTGGGGCTCCGCTTTTCTCCGCCCGATGTGCGGAGGTCCTACACGGACAAGATCTATATTTTCGCCGGATACGACGGGAACAACCGCGTCAACGATTTCTGGCAATATGACACCGAACATGAGGCCGACTGGCACGCGGCCGACTGGAAACACTGGGGCATGTCCGAAGACCGGCAAGTCGTCGTTTTTGGATGGAGATTTCAGCGGTCGAAGATCTTTTGCTCCAAAAGCTGCTGGGGTCTTCACCACAACATGATTTTGCTGGGGCACCGGGCACCACATCGGAATTGAGGTGAAGTGAATTCGGATGAGTCAACGCAGTCCGATGTTGGTGGGAGATAGTGCGAGCATGATGTAAATCACCCACGCTTTTGGGTGCTATCTTGGGGCCTCACCATTGTTCAGAATTTCGGAGAAGAGCATGGCTATTAGATATATACTTGCTTTTCATTTTTTTGGGGGGGGTTGACAGGTTGATGATTTGGGAACTCATCACTTGTTTGCCGACTGACATCGCACAGAGCGTACTGAAGTGTTTTGCAATGCACATCAATGTGCTGTACTGTCATAGAAACATATAAAGAAGACTCACCTACTATACAAACCTCATGCCAAGGTTTTCCAGTTGTTTTGCTGCAAAAACCCCAGCGACCAGCTCGACTGACTCAGACTGAGCTCTTAACAGGCCGAGGCTCCTGTCGTCACTTCTTGATGTTGTTCTTCCCCGTTGGTTGAGTTGCTAAACCACTGTATAGCTCTTTGTTTGAAGCAGAACTCGAAGAGCTTTGGACCCACCCCCGGACCCGGGAACCGCCATCCGGAACCGCCATCCGGAACCACCCTCCGCCCTCCGCCCGCCCGCCAGTCCTGGCAGATGGTGGATGCCGCTCTTGGGAACCCACCCACTCCACGGCACAGTTGGGGACACCCGGAGCCAGCGACGACTCCGGGCCTGGACCCGACCCTTTGACGTGGATGGGCAAACCCCCGGGGGGGCCCCAAGCATGGTCCATGTGGTTCAGCACCGGTGAAGACCAACCCCAGGTGGTGAACGACACTGTACCCAAGATGATTTGCGAGGAGTGTAGGGTTCCAGTTAGGCACCTGTGGGTGATGTACATTCGGATCGAAGCGGCAGCTGGCAGTTGGAGGATCACACAGGATCACTATGAATCACTCCATTCAAGCCGCCCGGTTTTTTCCGCATCTCGGGGCGGTTGGAAGAGAGAGGCGCCTCTCGATCGCTGGAATGGGTGAAGCATTCCTTGTGCTGACCGGTCACAAGGTCGACGCCCTAAGGTCGACGTGGCCCCTGTCGAGAGTCACCCCCCTCATGGTGCTGAGAATGGTTGGCAGCGCTTTTTTGATGTTTGAACCTTATGTGTTTGAGAAGGGACTGTTGTGAGCGTGTATTTTTTTCAAGATTCAGATTAATAATGATTAATCTTCTAATGACCAATCTCTGAGATGATTTAATTGCAAGATTTGGAATGCTGGGCCACTCTCCACTTAAGGTCATTTTTTTCACTGCGATATGCAGAGAATGGGAGCTCCTACGCCGTAGGATGTCACAGGAGCGCGAAGATGTCACCACAGGTGCAGTGTGGCTAAGAGTCCAACGATGTGGCTGTTCAGCCACTCCCCATCCACTCCCCGCCGGCCCCTCCAAGTCTCGTACTTTTCACCACTGTCCCAAGGCCATTCGGGCGTCGAGTACGATGGATCCATGTATATCTTCGCCGGATACGATGGGAACTACAGGACCGCAGCGAGTGCGCGAGTCCTGCGCGAGTGCGCCGCTGCGCTAGTCCACCGGACGACCGAATGGGCTGGCCGACCGCAGCGGTGGGAAGAGGCAGGTCTTTCTCACCTTTGTTGGGGAGACGTCTCCCCGTGGCCGAAGACAAAGGGTAACTATTAGAACATGGTAGAACTGCAAGGTGGGCCCAGACCACCTAGTGACTAGCGAAGATCTTTAGGGACAGGTGGACTAGGCTGGACTAGATCTTTCATCCAGACCACAGTGGGTCTTTCATGCCAGCAAACTTCAACACCTGATTCTCGAGCACAGGTGGCTCCAATCCGGGTGGTGACTGCTCCACTATCCTTCCAAAATTGGGTGTTGAGACCCCGAAGACGCCTCAAAGCAGTGCTCCCCTCAAATATGGTGTTATAAGACTTTAGGATTGTATATTATGAAGCAAAGGTATGATACATCATATGATGTGTCAAGAAGATATATTATATATACATGATGTTTCAAGATACCAAAACTCGGTCCATTGGGTTGGCTCCGCCGTGCCCCCCGGTGGACCGCGCGAACTCGCTCGGCATCTCCGTCCGTCCGTCCGTCCCCTTCGTCGCAGGAGCGATTTTCATCGCTACAACTTCCCGCAGCGGAAGTGGCCCCTCGACGGCGAAAACGCGGAAACCGAGATCGCTTCAATTTCCGCACCGAAACCCACCGCTGGGGCGGTTTCCCGCTGGGGCGGGGAACCGGCTTGCTTGAGGACGAGGGTCTGTTTTTAGGTTCAACCGGACGCTCAGAGCCGCTCAGACCGGACACCTGAGAAGAGGAGGAGACCCGAGAAGACCAGCACCGTGAAACACACGGGACACACGAGGGCGCCGGAAAATGGACACACCAACAAACTGTCATGTTTGGAGTTGTGGGCAGGCGAGCTTGGAAGATGAGCGGGCGTTGGTTGTATCCGATAGATAGTGGCACGGTTTGCAATACATTCTTAGCGGGGATCTACTTTTCTATCTATTTGGGGTCCAGATAAGGTTTTCCATCCACTTCCTGTAACCCCGAATCATACGAGCTTGGGGTTCTGGTGCTCTGGTCTCCCCCTGCTGGCGACCCCGAACTTGATAAACCATGCGGATAGGCATCCGATGAAGACGGGGAACGGAGGGTGGAGCCACCACCGACGTCGATCCGATTCCCCGACCGCCGCGCCGCGAGGTCCATCGTGCCGGTGAAGGGTTCCGTGCCCAAGGCGCGCTACAGGACCTCCGCGGTGGCGTCGGGGAGGCCCAGAGAGCGGCGTTTTGCCGTGGCGGCCGCGGATCTGGGCAGATGGGGCGAGCGTTTTCCAGTGGGCTCTTTCGAGGGGGGATGGTGGTTGGATGGGTGGAGTCTGGTATTACCCAGTTCTGGATGTTAGGTGAAAATAATGTAAAAACAAGTTGATTGAGTGAAGTTTTCTAAACTAATATCATAGCAGTATAGTAAATCACAATTTATTCATAAATCACGCGGACTGTCGAGTCGATCGAGCTACGTCCCCCGCGCAAGACCGCACGGCCGGGAAGCACCCATTGGGCAGCCCCCACCACTCGACAGTGCCATCGGTCAGTGCCATTGGGCCTGACTACTCGGGATAGGTCGAAAACGTGTCAAAGAACCAGGTCGAGCACTCAAAACCACCAGCACTCAACCCTATGAGGCCAACCAACACGAACCAACACGAACCGCCTGACCACCAAAACCAACTTCAGTAAGATCGACCCATCCGAGGTCACGCGTGATGCCAAGAAACTGCGTCGCAACTCGCCGGGCCTTCCTAAAAGATCTGCACTCAGCGGCAAAGGTAGCAGGAAGCCACTGATTGATGGGGGTGTCATCATCAAACTCACAAAGGACCCTACCATGAAAGCTCCGAAAAGCAACAACAAGCTCATAAAAAGAGACCCAACCCTCTTGGTCTGATTCACCCTCCAATCCAACAATGAATTCAATCAAACTCTGTACAAAACCGGTCTTGAAACCAGGAATCGTCCGGAGGTGGGCCAAGCGACCAACATCTATTTCTTCAAAAGCCGCAAACAACCAAACAAACAAAACAAAACATCTGTCTCTTTTCCAAGCTCGAACAAAACTCGCACCTTTTACTTGGACAAAAAATGCCTGTGCGCGGTGGTCTCACCGTCAGACTCCCCCTTTCGGCTTATTGCCGAAACCATACGGGGTATGAAAGGCAAAATGCCTGGCTCAAGGCATGGTACTTTGGCACTTTGCCTTAAAGTACTCTGCTCTCATCTTGTCCATACTCCACCCACGTCCGGCGTGTTTTTGTTGGAACCGGTTCCATGGGTTTCCAGGCGCTGTATTGCGCCTTGCTGGTGACGGTCTCGTCACAGGGCCAGTCAAAGCCTGATGCAGCAGCATCGAAGCACGCTCAGCGCTAACGGCTGCTCGCCCAGCTGCTGCCGCGGCCATCTCAGCGCTCAGCGCTGCCCTCTCCGCTCCATCAGCTGCACAGTTCACAGCCTCATTCACAGCCACGCCCGCTTGCGACCCCTTGGATCGCGACAAAGATCTGCTTGCCGAGCCCGACTGTCGCCTTCGTGTCAAGGGCGTAGAGCTCGGCCTGGACATAGTTCCTTCCGCACTTCGCGCCCTCGATCCCCTTTTTCTCAAGCGTGGCTCAGCTTCAGAAGGTGTTCCAGCCTCATTCAACTCTTCGGCCGAAGGAGGACTTTCACCCATTGCAGCTGAACTTTGATCTTTTGATCTCCTTCTCTGTGGCTCGGCCGGAGTGGCTTCTGACTCATCCCCTTCACTATGGCTCTGCGAACCCAGCGGCTCGATGATCACCTTCTGCAATCGCCGCAAGCAGCAGCACGCTGACGTACATACAGCTTTGCAAACCCAGATTGCCCCTATGGCGATCAAAATCAAACCACAAATCCACAGGGCCCCGATGGTCGAGTCCTTCTCCACGTCTCCTTGCGCCTCAGCCACATGCGCGAGCACACTACCCGCTGCCAAAGCTCGAAGTGCCCCCATTTGATCTGGTAGCTGAGGATGTCGTCGATCAGCCCCATTTTGCTCTTGTAATTGAGGAGGTCGATGTTCCGCCCCAAACACCCTCACACTAGTTTCCTCCACCCTGAGGCCCAAATCACACAGAAAATTCTGAAAACTTTGACCCAGGAGCGGCTTCGTGAGTCCATCAGCCACAAGCTCAGTGCCACGAAGGTGCATCAACTTCCATGCTCCCCCAGGGTACGAGCTGCTGTTCTCAAGGGCCTCCCGGAGCAAATTGGACCTTACCCTCAAATGCCTTGTCCTCCAGGAAGCTGCACTGTTGCCATGGGCCAGAGCAATTGCAGCGGCATTGTCACCGTAGATGACCCGGTCAAAGGTGCTGTTGTTCATCAGCTCCTCCCCCCACATAGTGCACAGCAGCGCTTCAGTTGCACGACCAGCTGTCAGGGCCTCACAGTATGACACTAATTCA